AGCACCAATTAATTTTATTTAAAGAAATGGTGTGTCGTCTATTTCCGCTGTAGCAAACGTAGTACATAGGGCGACATCTAGATGTCATCTACCTCGCCCTATTCACTACAGATGTCGCCCTATCCACTATGCTTTTTTATAGGAACTTTTCAAAGCAAAGCTTTATGGTGTCGGACACACAACATTGAAAGTTTCTGGATTCACAACATTGAAAGTTTCTGGACACACAACATTGCAAGTTGATAAAAGCGTTGTAAAATACAAAGTTGCCAGAAACTTCTTACATGCTCAGTTATCGGTAAAGAGTAGATTTTGAAGAGAAGAAATTTTTCTCAATCGTGCGAATTTCACAAATAAAGAGGAAAATATAGACTTTTACTTGTCTCTTCGTCATTGTCGCCAAGCTCAACCAACGGGAGGCTCAAAAAGTGTGCCACTCCAAATAGGTTCAGCCAAAGGGAGAGGAGCGTTAGTTGAGCAAGCATACGAAAATATGTGAGTTTATGATTTATTTTGGAACGAATTTCCGTCATCCCTTGTCAAGTTTGGTTTGCAGACAAACCGGTTTCGGCGTTCTGTCATCTTCAGTGTCATTTTTCATGTGAGTTTATCCTGCACAGGTAGGAGTTTTACTTGCTGCATTACACAGAGCGGAATTGTTCCAGGGTGGTGCGAGTCTCTCGGGGCAGACGAAGCTCTGCCTCGTCCACTTCGGGTCCTTGCGTTCCCAGAACGGCATTTACAGGTCAGGAGTTGGTATAAGTTGCGAACGACTCACTCTCCGTGTGAACACCGTTTACAGCCTGTCAGTACGTGGTCGAGTCAAGTAGTTGTTTTATGAACCTGTGGACGTGGTCCGTTTATTAGTAGAGATTTCTTCTGACGTACCTTGTCGAGGGCTCTGCCGCAAGCAGACATCTGTTCGGGTGTTCACGTTTGTGGAACTGCATGTGGTTCTTGACGGAGAGCATTTGGGCCTACTCATGCAAGAGGTGTTCTGGCGACATTAGAAGGCGTCCCGTGACAGTACAGAATTCGGTGTTTGGAAGGCGTCTAGCTTCATCCACTTCGTCCTGCTAGTCCCCGGCGAACACACGGGCGCTGCATATTGCTATGTTGCAAAGAACATTGGGGCTTGGCCCCAGATGCTGTCGGCTAGCGACTTGAGGACCTAGTTGCGGATCTGTACCCCATTAACTATTACGGTTGCGTGAGCCTAAAAATATAGCAGACTGTCGAAGCTAACTCCGAGTATTTTCGGGTTGCTCACAGTCGGAATTGGTTGGTGAACTCCAAGCTGTAGTCTAACCTCTTTCGTCCTGTTGGTGGAAAGGATTGCCGAGCTTTTCGTAGAGGGAAAGGGTAAGGCTCCTTGCAGTTGCGACCATTTACTTTCGAGCACAGGTCATCAATTGCATTTCCGGACGCCATTATCGTGCAATGGTCAGCATATGAGATGATGTAGACTACTTTTGGTTGTTGAGGGGGCTTCGAAATATAGAAACTAATCAGAGGCGGGAAAGGATACCACCCTGTGGAACCCCGTTTTTAAATTCTTCTTACTTTGGACGTTTTATCCCTGAAGATGACTGATGAATTTTGACCACTCAGATAATTTGCTAACCACTGTTTGAGTCCCAGTGGGAGAGAGGAAGCCTCAATGTCTTCCAGCAGCGTGGAGTGGTAGATGGTGGCAAATACATTTGACAGATCCAACGCTACCAAGACTGCTCTCTCTCAGTTAAGCCCACGTTTTATCTGAGCTATGCTGATGCCACGCTAGGGTCACAAAACGGTGGTACGTGAAGTGCCACATTTTCTTCCGTTGGAGTGAATTTTTTGAATGGCGGTGATGTCAGCCTTGGTCTATTTGTGGTAGTTATCGAAAGAAGGGGAGACTGAGTTGTGGTTTCTTTACGTGACGTGGCCTCAGACCAGCGCACGACCCATTGCAGAAGATTGCATGCCAATAATATGTTTGGATACATAGTGTTCATTGATTCAGTTAAAAGTTTTTCTTTGCATTCTATATTCTAATTGGAAGGTACTTGATTGAAAGGGCCAATATATCTTAAAAAAATTGACCACAATTTTCTTCCACCTCAGCTCAAGCATATTGGGCCAGCTAGCTGCATCTAAACTACATAACCTAGACTGTCTGGCTGATTAGAACATGAGCATCGTAACTTCATCAAATAAAAAAAATTTAAAATGTTTCTGTATTGCAAAACGAATAAGTGTTCAAGTTGAAGAAAAAAAAATCGGAGTGCTTTTACTAATCTCATATTTCAATACATAATAAAATATAAGATAATAAAACATCAACAAAAGCCTTTAATTTTATGAAAATTGGATGCATTTCAAGTATTCCCTAATGGCCAGTTATGAGAATACCTTCGCAATGAAAATAGGAATGAATGTAAATTTTTGCCAGAGCAGAAATGAGACAACAATGAAAGCCAGTTAAATTATAAATACAATAAATTAGCTATGGTTAGAAATAGAGGAAAATCCAGCAAATTCAAGTGAATGGTTGAGAAATAAGGAAATCGAGAAGCAGAGAAGACATTGCAAGTCAAACAGCATAGAAGAGAAAATAGGAAACACACGACTTTTTATTGAAGAAATTTGCAGTAGCGAATTTTACATGAATGCAGGTAATGATAATAACTGAATGCATTTACATAAAATATGCAACTTTTTTATACAGGAAAAATGCGAAATAGGTATAATGAAATGAAAGTTGCCATCGAAGGTATATATATATGTATGTATGTATGCGTTGTTGTGTTTGATAAGCTGCTTAAGGATAACGAAAATTGTAATGGCGCAGTAGTAGTGAACAATTTACAATTTAATATACATATACAATTATGTGTGTAAGTAGGTTTGTGTGTATGTATTCGAAAGTATGTATGCACTGAGATTGGAAAGCCGATTAAATAATAAACAACAAAACAAAATATTTAGATGGTAATTAAGTAAAATATTTTAACTTACAACAAATCTGAATTAAACAGGGAATTATAAATATGCAGGTAAAAGTGTGCGCAAAATGTGTAGCAATGTTTAATTCAACAATTATGCAATTAAAAGGACCTTATAAGTACTTAAAATACTAAATAAATGTAATAAGAGAAACTGGTTTTTTTCTATGTTGGGGTTTTGATAGAAAAAAATATGTAGGTGTTAAAATTTTAATAATGCGCAGTTGATCAAATGTTCACTTTTTCTGTGAAAAATTATTGGTGGCCAAATTAACCCATTCACAATCAAAAAACTTTGTTTTAACCATGCAAGATGCAAACGACATTTTTTACAAAATTTTATTGTTTTTTGGTGATAAAAAAGAGACACGTATTTTTTTATTTTGAAAAAAAAAAATTTTTTTTGGAGGTCGCGCTAGTCGGTTTTTTTCAAAATTCATAATGGTGGTACCGATATCGCGATAAATTTAAAAAAAAAATTAAGATTTGCTCGAAACTCGTTACTCGGCGGTTTTTGGGGTCGCTGATTACGAATCGAAGTAAATTTTTGTAAATTCAATATGGCGGATCCAATATGGCGATCAAATTAAAAAAGGATTATATTAGTTTGGTCCTTAAAAATATCAACATCTAAATTTTGATTAGCGCACCCTGTTTCTATTTAATGTACAAAAAAAGATATCCACGGAATTTTCAAAATTTCAATAGTAAAAATTCCACAAAATGATTTTGATTAACCCCTCTATTCTAACAGAGTCACAAAACTTAGCTCATCACTGTTGTGATTTCAAGTGCGCCGAGAAATAGGTCACAAAAAAATCACTTTTGAGTGCTAGAAAAATACACAAAAATTTGAAAAATTGAATTGAAGCGGCATATTTTTTGAGCGGCAAGCTTTGAGACGCGGTAGAAATCACAGCAGTGATGAGCTGAAGTTTGTGACTTTGTTAGAATACGGCTGTAAATCTAATAAATTAGAGATATTATGAAAGTTATCAAAAAAAAAAAACAAAAATGCATATTTGAATTTAGCGTCCTCAATTTTACTAAGAAGCGAATTTTCATTTAAATCTGTCCATAACTTTAACCCACATTTTATATGGAATGGAAGCACTATGCGACTGGATAGACGCAAAAAAAAGTTTCTTATACAAATTAGAATAAATTTAATATTTTTTTAACCTCCAAGTGCTAAAACCACGCGACAATGCACCATTCGATATTTTATAATATAATAACATCATTTTCGAAAATTTCTATTTATCACAGAAAAAGGACTACCTGATCCACTGTGTCGCAGTTAAAATGTAGTAAGTTTTATTCAAAGCATTCTGAATTAATTAAATAAAATAATAATACTTAAATTTTGCGAAATTATTAATAAAAATTTAAAGGTTTAAGAAATAATGAAAACGTAGCTTACCTTTCGCTTGCAATGCTTGAATTTCTAGACATCGACTTCGGTGACATTTCAAAGTCCGAATCCGAACGATACAAGAACGATTCGCGACGTTGTGGAAGATTTTGTAATACCAAACCAGCGCTCGGTGAGCCGCCTTCAAGCGGAGATCTTGCGCCTTGGCCATTTTCTACATCGAAGCTGTAAAAAGAAAAAAAAAATGCAAATAAGGGTTTTTAATATTTACAAAAAAAAAGAAATGGTCTGTAATTTTTAATAAAACACCAACTCTAAAATATGAAAAAATTTATTAGTAATAATTGCAATAATTTTTGTACAATTCCCAATAGCTGTCAACATTTGCTGCTTTAAAAATTACTACACGACTTTCAACTTCAGCTTCCTTTTCAATTAATTTCAATTTCGCGGCAACTATTTAAAATATATGTATGTAAAAGAATCAGTCAGACACCGTTGAGTACAAAACCTGTAACTTTTACGAATTAATTATAAAATATGCGTGCGCAAAAAGCCGCTGCCGCAAATTCCTTGCTTGAGAAAAAAAAAATGAAAAAATGTATATCCGACTCAAAAAGTTATTAATTATTTTCTATTTGTGTTTATGTGCCTGTGGTGCAACGGCTTTGAAAGTGAAACAGGAAAAAATTTACTAACACAAATTTACTAACTTTCAACTTCGGCCACAGCAGGTTAAATATGGTTATGCGTATGTTGCTCATACGCCCTGGTGGCTGGCTGCCCCCAGCGACGCATTAAAAGCCCCGACACCAATGCTTGGCGGTAGCGACCTTGCAGCGCTGTACAGCCTTCGGTTTTTTTTTTGTTTTGAAATTTCGGCTTCCAGCTGAATGAATTATAGGCATTACTTAGTGTGGTTTATTTTTTTTTGCACAGAGTTTAAAGTAAAAGTTAAAAAAAAAAAAAATATTCTCACTGGACGCATCCTAGGTGTGAGTAAATGCATAAAGTTTGTTGATGGCATTAAGTCAGCTGGTGATTTTTAAACAATAAGGCGCATTAATTTTTTTCCATATTTTCCTTTAAGTTTTGTTTGCTCAAAAGCATATATGTAGAAGAATAACTTTTCCACAACTTTTCAGGAGTGAAGACCACACTCGATGTTTTTTTGTGAGCGCCTCTAAACTGAAAACTATGGGATTAAAAACTGTGTAGGTCAAAAATTAAAAATAATTTTGAAGTTTGTTGCAAAAAATTGTAGTTTTGTATAATTGTTTTTTTTTTTTGTGCGCCTCAGAGACCCCCTCAGCAATTTTTATAAAATGCAAATCGAATAATGCTCAGAAGGTCCATTTTATAGTCATTCGAAAAGCGGCAGCTTAAGCGTCTGAAACAGAAAACATCATTGTTGTAAATATTTTAAAAATCTTAACTTAAATAGTTCAAAACTGAAGAGTGCTAAATAGGCTAAATGTCCAAGTTTAAGTTTAAATGAATAATTACGCTGGGGGCCTGAGATCGATGAAAGTGATCGTAAAAATCAATAAATTGGAGTGTGGAGCCCAAGATTGTCGACGGAGTGGTATTTTGGTGGGATGCTCTCAAGAAAGAGTTGAACGCCAGTGAAACGGCAAAAGTTCAGCAGTGGTCCTTTCTACTCTTCATAGGAGTAATGAAAATAACAGACGTGCTTTACTCGCTACTAAACTTTGTTACAACGGATCAAAAAGCACTAATGCTACACTAGCAAATGCCGAGTGAGCAAAGCATTGGCATGCCATTCGTTAGCTTTGGGTTTTTGAAACCCTCTGGCGGCGAATTTTTTTCCGTATTTTTTATTTATGTAATCTATTTAATTATTAGTTGTCAAATTTTCTTTTGATTTTCGGATTTTAGGAAATATTTTACATTGGCTGAATTTCTTTATTCATTCTGAACGTTTGGAATAAACTTTTTTGTTTACTTATTCTTTAGAACGTTCCTGATGATATGTTAACGTATATTTCAAAAGCATTCTGTTTATTCCGGCTGTGAAATGGGATTATCCGGAATGTATAAAGAAACGCAGCCATTATTTCTGCTGCTAGAAAAACATGGCGCAATAAACAGGTGAAATAATAAAACAGCCTTCTCGCTTTATTTTCTGACATTCGGTTGCCTTATAGTCAGTGGCGGATTTGAATATTTGTCACCCCTAGGCAATTCAAAATTCGCCGCCCTTTTTCCGATAAGAAAAATATTTTGAGGTAAAAGTACCAGTTTTGTAACGATTAGCAGTAAACAGTAATATTCAAATTTATGTTATTTACTACACTTTTATTACAATTTAAGATGCTAAAGTGGTACTTGCCTTGAGTTTTCAACCTTTAAAGAAAGCCAATTAGTATTTTTAAATATTATCATTTAAATAATATCAAAAATACCTAACAGTGTTGTCCTATTTTTTGATTGCGTAATTAAATCTCATATTTATGTCTTAAAATTTACAAACAGAAATTCTACTTTCAGTGCAGCTAACTTGAAAAAAAAGGTCTTTTTTTCAACTCAGATTTTACCGCTCCTAAATTTTTCCGCCTTAGGCACCTGCCTATGTTGCCTTTACGGTAAATCCGCCACTGCTTATAGTAAAATTTTGTAGGCAACCTTTCAAATATGGCAGTGTCAAAATTTTTCTTCTCACTCTAATTACTTCAGCTGGTATAATTCCACCCTGCTAGAAAAAGTACTTTGCTGTTGCTGTAAATTTTGCGCCCATTTTTCTTGGGATCTGTATACTGATTTAAAAAAATGTAAAAGAAAATTACTTTTCCATTTCTTGTGCTTCTTTTTATATAAATTTTTAATTTTTCCTTGGAGCTGTAGACAGGAGAATATTTTTTTTCTATTTATATTTTTTTCAATATTTCATAAATTTCATTATTTTTATTTTCTAATTAAGTTTTATTTTAGCTTTTGTATTCTATTTTTTAAAGAAAAAAATTATTTTAATTTTAATCTTATTAGTTTTTATATAAATAATTTATATTATGTAAACTGAACTTTTCCACCATGTAAAATTGTTTAGAAAACTTATTGCTAAAAGGAAAACAGAATAACCTGCTCGCTAGCAGGTCTTTCAGTTAGTTTTTCGAAAGGCAGCTGAAAGAGCTTTCAAGATGGTCGCCAGAATGGATAACTGTATTGCGACAGAAAAGTTATTCTTGGCGTCTCTTTCATTGCTGCTGTATTTTTCAGGCTGAACTGGTGGCTAACTCAAAGACCGAATGGAATGGCTTTTTAGGTTAAATTCAAGTACACTTGGATGAGGCCATAGATAGTGGTCGGAAAGTATTTATGACACAATAAATGTTATTAAGATAGTCAATAACCCGCCGCACGTCTTTTACTTCCTTATACCTCCTTCCATCTCATTTCACTCTAATCCATAATCATCCAGCTTGTTTGATGACATTTTGTTTGCCAATTTAATCATAATTTTTTTTTTCAGATTGCTACACGACTCCTCTTCTGCTTTCATGTTTAAGCTTATGCGCTTTTAAATTAGAAAATTAAAAAGCATATACATACATACATACATAGGATATGGCCTTTTAAAACAAAAAAGTTCACCTTCAAAGCAGCCGTGTACATATGTGTGCGTCGTAGCAAGAACAACATAGAGCATAATAAGTAAATTAATTATATAATTTCCTTTTTGACACAGCGTCGCTGATGGTCCGCCTAGCTTGATGGCATAAAGTTGGCCATTTGACTGCCCCAAGAGTAGCAGTTCTCCTCTAACGCCTGGATGCTCGCCAGCCTCGATCTGCTTTGGTTTCATTTTCAGGCGAAAATAAAAATATTTGCACATATAATTAGGCGCTTGTAGGCATTGGTAGCAAGTCAAAGCCGTCTTTTAGGCGTTGAAGTTAAATTACATACAGTTTGAGTTTGCCCACACGCACATCCGCGCGGTGCTACGTAACTTTTGCATTACTTTATTAAAAAATTTTCCATTCACTTTTTTACAGTGAAAATGTTATTATGTGGAAAAAACTTATTAATTTTTTTTTTTTGATATATTGCTTTTTCTGTAGTCCGTAGCAGTGCGCCTAAAAATGTTCCTTCTACTTAATTTTAATATACGTGGTCTCATAGTCTCGTAGCTCATTAATTTAATGAGCTCTATTTGTTTATCATTTATGGCTTAATGCACACGTGGGATATTTTACCTTTATGCGCCTTATTCATTTAGTTAGCATTTATTTTTTTTCTTGGTTTTTGCTTATACATACATACATACTCTGAATTAGCGGGTACATAGAATTATTTAAGCTAGGCGTATCTAACTTACGCTGGATTCGGGTTCGACCAGGAACAAACATTTGACATTTTCTCGCCATACTCCGCGCACAATTACAGGTATTTTTCTTCTCCCTACGCATTTTTTTCTACATGAACTTCGCTTTAAATAAAACTTTCATGCGTACTTTTTGCAAAAAAAGAAAAAAATAAAATTGTCCAGCACATCAGCAGCAGAAGCCCGGCCTAAATCTGTCAAGGATGCACACAATTTTATTTATTGTATTAATTAAATACATTATTTCTAGACTTTTTAAACATGGCACGTGTATTAGGGTAGGGCGGAAAAAAAATAAATTTTCGTTTTCGAAATGCTAATATTGCGGAATCGTTGCTAAATCGTTTTCCAATTGTATAAAATTTACGGTCGCCGCAAGAGTCTTAAACTTTCGAAAAATCTCGCAAATTATTGGTTTTTAATACCCTTTTTTAAGTCGGGTAGAACAATGCGCAAGTTTGATATGGCTACAAATTACCATTGATTTTTGGCAATTTCTTTTGATGACATAAAAAAAATGTCGAACTTATTTTGTAAGGAAAAACTTCGTGGCACTGCCACCAAAAAAAAAAAAAGAAAAAATAACGTAGACTCTAGAGAAAGCTTTTAAAAAAAGTATAAAGGAACTAATATTTGAGAAGTCTTTCGAAACTTTAGGGCTCTTTGGGCGACCGTAAATATTATCCCATCGGAAAACGACTTAACACGGTTCAACGCGCTCATCTTACACAACTTTTCGGCACAATCAGAATTTTGAAATTTAAAAATTAATTTTTTCGCGCCACCCTAACGTGTATGCGCATGTGTTTGTGTAACTATCCATAGTGAACTCGATATGCCAAGCAGCGAATGTTATCAATTGTTACTTTTCGTAGGAAATAGA